ATTACTTAACCAGGACTACCACTGCACAGCCTTTTTTGAATGCAAACAATCATTTTTATTTCAGATCTCTTCTATCATATGAAACAAAATCAAAAGCTTTTCTTAAGAAAACAAAAACACAAATATATTCTTTATATGAAATTAAATTTAATAATGGATTAGAGAAACATTTAAGCAATAGATTGCATTCAACACTTTAACAAGTCTAATAATTCAAAAAAATTAATATCGGATGCTATTGTTATAACAAAGCTTTTGATATGTAAGCAATATAATTGTATTTTTATTTTAGATATTATTTTTTTTAATCTGTCGTTTCCATATTAATCCATAGCGAGAAGCTCGGATTAAGTATAAAATATTTAACTTTGTTTTAATTTTTTTAAAATACAATATTTTATTAATAAATTACTCCCTAGTGAAAATAAATTAATTTATATTAAAGAATTTTTATATTTAATATTTATAATATAACTTTTAAAATCTATTTTATTATAAAATGTTAATGTTCAATTTTATTTAATTTGTTATTGAACTAGAAAATTCAAATTGAAAAATAAATTTATTAATTTCTCCTTAATTTGGTTAAACCAGATTGTTCTAATGAAGCAATCACAATTTAATTTATTTAAGATTATACAGTTATTATTTAAAATTATTTCAAAAATAATAATTACGTTTATAAAGAAACTGTTATGACAAGAGAGTAAAAATATATGTAATCATCAGATTTTGATGTTCTAGCACAAACTAGAGCTGAATAGCCATAAATGGCTTTATTAAAACATTTATAATGACATTCTCAAAACCGATACACAAATTAAATAATAATTTATATGAGTTGAAATTAATTAGAACATGTAAAAAATAAATAATAAAAGTAACGATTACTGTGGATTATTTTTTAAGTCAGTTGAACCAGGTATTAACAATCAATTCTTACTGTTTGTGTTAGCGAAAGGTTTCTGAAATATATAATACTTAACCATTTATAGTAAATTCTAGTGAATCATACACTAGTGACTAGTCTTTGTGCCTATTTCTGTGCATTTACCAAAAGATTTATTTCTTACTGTATAGGCGGTGACACTTTCTGTAGAATTTTACAAACTACTGTACACAATACTTAGAATTATCATTATTCAGTAATGTAAACTGTCCAGTTTTATATTTAGACCTAAATTTTAGGATTATAAATGATTTTTTAGCAAAAATATACATTGAATTTGGAATGGATTGAGTGGTTGTGAGAATCGATTGTTTAGTTTGACTGCAATTATGACAAAAAGGATTTGTTTTCCAAAAGGATTTGAGGAAAAAGTGTTTCATGTGTTAGACTGTAGAAGACGTGTCTATTTTCCGATACATTCAGCGTCTGATGGCTTGAAGTTTACCTTCAATTCTGGCATTTAATGCATTGAATTCGTATCGTTTGAATGCTTTGGCAAATCATTTTCCGAGCGATCGGTTAAATCCGTTGAGATATAAAATCATTTCTGACTACAGTTCTCACTTTTATCACCATTGATCTGATGATTTGAATGAAAAACTACTTTTTAAATATTTGACATTTATTCTATTGAATCAAATATTCTAAAACAATTCAAAGACAATATAAACATAATTTTAATGATTTTCAAACTAGCTGATAAAAGGTTACCTTGGCCTGGAGTAAAGACTTGTTTATTAAATAAAATAATATTTTAAAGTATTAAAAAGAATATAAAAATTGAATTACAATTGCAATTATGAGGACTTTTCAATGAGTCCTTTTAGTAGTACACAAATTGTACACAAGAATTAACAAACATTAAAAAAATTCATTATTTAATGCAATTCTTTAATGATTTCAACATTTGTTGTTATATTTAACCAAGGGATAAACAATAAAAAATATTAATTGGTTGAAAACGTAGTTTTTAGAGTAAAAATATATAATATTTAAAAAGATTTTAAAATAAATTGCAAAAAACAATGATTTTGTCGGCAAATCCTTGCATCAAAAATATAGGAAAGAGAAACCCTATTAGAGACCCATATATAATGAAAAACGTATTCTTTGTTCTCTAATATAATGGAAAAGCTTTAAAAAATTCTTGTTTTCTTTTCAATCAGGAAAACAATTTTTATATTTGATCACATATTTCAAAACAATATAAACCTACTTTAAATACAGTACTGTATATAGTTTTCAAATACATATGACATTTGTATTTAAATAGTATTTATATTTAAAAATCATTTTCTTAAATACTATAAATGTGATATTATATAATTAATGCACAATTAAACTTTTTAAGACTAAACATTGTTAATTTTCATTAAAATTAAACAACAAATATTATTTTTACAAAAATTTCAGAAATAGTAAATTTAAACATTTTATAAGATTTACTTTTAAACGTAATAAAATCATTGAATGCAAGTCTTTGTGTGGAGTTATAGCCATCTGTTATGAGAGTTTCAAAGATATTCCCAATTCTTGCAGAATATGTCAAATATATTTGATTTTATAGCCTGAGCGTTGTTTTTTGGTTTGATCAGGACATCTATTATTGCGTATAAATAAATTGCTAATTTTTTATTTTTATTCTTTAAAAGTATACATTTTGAGTAAAATATTTTAATAACAAAAAAATATGATTATTTCTGTTATTATACCGTATTTTTGTGTAGTTTTATACAAGATTCTAATTATAGGAGTACATAATGTTTTGATAATACTAGTACACAAATATATAATTATTATAAATAATTTAATTTATATAAAAGATTATTTAATATAATAAGAAATAAAAATTAAATAATAATTAATTATAGTTGATTAAATATTTGAAAATTGAAAATATTTTCTCAAAAGTTGAATGTGAGTTACTCATAATTAGATTTGTCAGTATCTGAGAGATTTTGTGTGAGTTTTGATTTAACCTGGTCAAGTAGACGTTGGCGATATTCCTTCATGTTTGACCACAGGGCCGGAACAGTAGCTCGCTTTTTGAAATAACTGGCACAACAGCGCCTGAAGTTTTCTAGTCCTACAAATAAATGACAATTTAGAGAAATTCAGTTTAAAACCCATTTACCATGTACAAACAAAATATTTATAGTAAAAACCACAAGTGAAAGTTGTTTAGTACTATAGTCAACATAGATTTATTTTTGAACTTTTTAAAAACATGTCAATTCTTAGGGTACATTATATTTTATTTACACCGTTTTACTTTATTGCTTTTAAAGTAAATATGATTATATTTTATAACAAAAACAAGCTAGTTAATTATATTATAATTAACAGGTTGTATACCTCTAACACTACTGGCGTCTGTGCACGACTTGACACACGTTTCTCCGCAAAGATCACAATTAATGTCTTCTCCATAGAGTTTTGGGCTAAATTTCGTGTCAACGATGGCATCGATTTTGATAAATGAAGTAATGGTTGATATCATTAACAAAGAAATGGTCAAAAAGAGTAGGGATTGCATTTGGAATGGATATTAGTTTGAATTAATGAAACTTCAATACACTTTGTGTCCGATAATTTTGAATAAATAGTTGAATGTTGACTAATAATCTGGTTTTTATAGATCACTTACATTACGAGTAAATCAATAGGAATACAGTTTTTGTATTTATATTTCATTGGAAGCGTCGGTCGACTTAAATACGAAGAAATGCCGAAATTCTGTAAATATAGGAATAATCTCTCAATGAATGGCTTATAAATACATATTTATTAAGAATTACTTGAAAAAACTTTTTGATATTAAGTCAAACCGTAAAA